GAACCGCTTTGGGAAAACCTTTGAAACAGATGATAATATAAGCGTGATTCACAGATAGCCTTTACTTACACAACTAAACACCTTTTAGCTTCTCAAAGATAACCAGATGATAGCGGAGGTCAAATGAAGCCGCATTAATAAACTTCCAATGGCTACAATTATTCTGCTAAAACAAGAGGCTTTCGTGCATCAGAAATGGGTTGCTTAGTGAATATTAATAACTGTTTCACAGGGGATTTTTGTGGACTCTTTCATTGTTGGAATTGCTTGAGGGTAGAAAGAAAAGCCTTTCAATTAAAAGTTGTTTAACACTCTTCATTAAAGGATTGGAGCCAGATACAGTCTTCTCTCTTGCCTTAAATTGAGGTGCTAGGATGTACTGAAGGACTTCCGATACTCAACGGAAAACCCCTGCAGAATATCTAATGAAATTACCTCACCATACAGATGCAGAGAACCGATCGAACATCAAACAAAGCCTTATTTTTGTCTGGTTTATTCTGCATATGTTGCATCTTAATTCGTTCATCAACTTCGTTTAGTCATTTCTGGAGTGATCTGCATGCAGTGTTGATTGTCTTTTGCTATTCACTTTCTTCATGATTAATCAGATTTCTGCCTTCATTTGCTGCTCTCAGTCCTTCTATTTCTCTACTGGGTGCAGTTCTGAAGATGAAACCATTCAGCACTTCTCATATTACTGAAGAGGTATTGACGTTTGTAAAAGCCAGATAATTACACCTCTAAAATCGAGTTGGATGAGTCACATAAAAAGCAGAAAAACACACTTTTAGAATTATATGTGAATTCTCCTTATAAATTATATTACAAATATAAATATACTACTGTTGAAAATTTGTGGTTTAAGATTTTTTTTTATGCTTTTTGTAAGTCTCTACTCACCAAGGCTGCATTTTTAAAATAAAAAATACAGTATAAACAGCAATATTGTGAAACATTATTACAAACTAAAGATAACTTTTTCTATTTTAATAGAACATTTTTTAATTTGCTGCTCAAATAACATTTCTCACTATCAATGTTGAAAACTGTTGCGTTGCTTAATATTTTTGAGGGAATTATATATATATATATATATATATATATATATATACTTTGGATAAAAGCGTCTACTAAATGACTAAAGGTAAAGGTAAAGATGTATATATATATATAAATAACATATAAATAACATATATATATATATATAAATATAAATAATATATATATATACCGTATTGGCCCGAATATAAGACGACCCTGATTATAAGACGACCCCCCTTTTTCCAGATGTACCT